GTCATATGAGAAAAGTCAGTGTACTTTCTGGTGGACTTAGAAGGGGATTCTTATTTTAAGTTTCACTTGATTGTTGCAGATGTTCCTGACCTAAATTTCCTCTTGCTTTTTTTCCCAGTTTTCTCTAATTTCAACATCCCAGTAGCTTTCTTTGCGCTTTGTGTAACTGTGTACTCCCAGGCCATGTTCTTTAAGCTCCCTCTGACATTGCTCTTGTCGCGGAACATCCCGAGCAGAGTCCCACTTCTATGACTTTTGCAGACTTATTGCATGAGCTACATCATTGTCCTTGTCAACCCCTTGCCCTGTAAATATTTTGACTGATTTGTGGAGCTCAAAAAGTTTGGAATGTGTGCAACCATAATGTGCATGAATAGGGTAACTGGCTTGCTCATACACTTCTCTTTTGCCATTTACTCTGACAAACCAAATCCACTCTTTGGCCTTAGTGAAAAAATCTGTGGGGTCTTTCTCATGGTTCCAGTTATGGACAACTGTGTAAATTTCAGCAGACTCTATCCATACCTTAACCACGGCTGATACTGTTTCTGGGCGGAGAATGCTGTTTAACGTACTTGGAAGGCCAGCCAAAAGAATCTTCTTGTCTTTTCCTTAAGAGGCTTGTGTAGCCACTTGCTTTCCAATCAGGATTTCTTTGTTCCCACACATGAGAGGAAACACCTCAAGATCTGATTACCCTAATGAAGCTTTTTGAAGTAACTCTGTTGCTGCCCCCTTTTTACTGTCACGAGATTTTCAATCAAGATATCTGACACTCAGCATTAAGGGAAGCTCATCTACCACAACGTTATCGAGTGGGATATTCAACAAAGGTTGTTTATCGCAGCGGTAATTTTCTTTAGATTGTTTTGACATTTCGCAAGTCTCTTCCAGTGTTCTTGCCAAGGGTGGAGTGTTGTTATTGTGGAAGTCATTATTAATTTTCCAGTGATCAGTTTTGTGCACAGGCATAGTTGGATGTTGCCCCCTTGAATCCGAGCACTAGCAAAATAAATGGGTTATGACCACCAAGATATTATTTAGTGTAAAAGTCTTGGCCATCCACAGTCATTTTACCTGTGGCAATTAAGTCATTTATTTCCTTTTGTATGATAATTCTGAGATCCCTTGACTATACCAAGAGTTCTATTTCCTTTAGCAGGCATTACTGACTCCCCTGTTTGCAAAATAGAAAATGAAAGTAAAATAAATTTTGAAGGTTGTTTGAAGTCATTGTTTTTCTTTGAGATAATCAGAGATATGTTCTTTGAAAACAGTTTAACCAAATTTACTTTTGTCTCTTCAAAGTTTGCATCTGCTGGGTCAATTTGGTACATTTTGTATAGTTCATCACGGCATTGCTTGACCAAATATGACCTTGGTAGACCATCTGTGGTCATAGAAAGTTCATGGTTAAATGCATCTCCTACACAAAATTTGTCTAATAGAGAATTTTTTTCCCCTTCTGACAAGGTGCTGAACTTGCTTTTCGCTTCACCTTGAAAACTTTGGCGGTGGTTAGTTGAAATTGCATTGTTTTTCTTGTAATTATTTTTGCATCGTGTTTGTACTGTAAGACCAAGTTTTAAGCACTGTTAATTTAAAAGAAATGCCAGTTTGGGTCGTGTCTAAAAGTCGAACAGGAATTTAACAAATCGTTATGATAGCCTTAACTGTGACACAATGTTCTTTAGATATGTACTCATTTTTGCTTACTTCTTAGATTAGGTGTTTGAACATGGGGAGATCTGTAATCAATTTGGGTTTGACAGCTTCTCACCTAAAATAATAAGATTTTAAATATATTTGCGTTATTTTGCTGATTGCTCTCGTTGGGCGGCAAAACTGAAGTGTTTTTCACTTAAGAAAAAAGGATATTCCCGTACCTGTAATTGGCGTATTATGGTACATGTGGTCTGGAATGCCTTGTCGTAGGCTACCGTACCATATATTTGTATAACAGCCTCAACTTTCTTTGGTGACTTGAATTTGAACTGATTTGTGTTTTAGTGACTTTGGTCGCAGGTTTCCATGGAGTGTAAAAACAGAAGCATCTTGCCATTTACAACTAGGTTCTTCCTCTTCAGTTTCTGTCGTCTGGGTGTTGACATCAGTACTGAGGTTAGTTCTGTAACAGTCAGGGCTGCATTGTCCCATCTCAGCAATTTTGAAAGGACCTAAATTTTATGGGAACGGAATTTCTCAAATTTGCGGCTCTCAAGAAGAATAAGTACTGCCGTTTACTAAAAGCCATTCTAATTGGCCGAGTGATAAGTCTGGGATTACATAGATTCAGCTGTCAGAAATCAGTCTTATTAAATTTTCACAAAATATGATATTTTAGGTCATTTAATTCTATGATATGAGAATGGTCAATATTTGTTTGGAATTGCTGAGCTTGAGCATAGGTAAAAGTTAGGGAGAAACTATCTGTTAACATTACGATATTATTATTGTTATTTTATTGGTCATTGACTTCTATAAACTTGGTGGTTCATAAAGGAGCAGTTCAAATAATGTTCTTGTTTTTTTTTGTTATTATTGGCAATAAAGTGCCGAAAAAAGGAATACTCAAAGTGAGATTAGTGTCGTGCTTCCACCGCTTCAGATCCAGAAATGCAAACACTTTGTTTCAAATTCAATTTTGGAAGCAAGGACCAACGTTACAAAAAAGAGGGACCAGATCCTAATAAAGGATGAAGTCACCTATAAGTAGAAATATAGAACAAAAGAAGCAAGGCTGATTATACGGTCAGGAATATATATTTACCTACATTTTGGAGGGCACGGCCTTCCTTCTTCAGGGTCTTACAATGGTAAGGTTAAGCTAAGACGTCACAATTTGAAATAAAGAATAGCATGCAATATGGTACCATAATAATACGGGAAAATTTAAATAAGAAAAAAGGGAACTTTCAAATTATATGAAAGAAATTTGAAATGTAAAAATAGTATAACCATATAATTACAAATGGAATGTAACAGGATGGAGTGGTCAGTGGCAGGAACAAGAAGGATTCAAGGATTTTCCAAAGCAATTTATTTGAAACTCAAATCCGTCAGCAACACAGCAACAATAAAATAAAACTAACCAAAAATAAAATAAACGGGAACTACTAAAAGATTAAACCTTCCTAGGAGCAAGTTCGCTCGTTAACTTTACAACTGCTGCAGTTCCTTCAGTGAGGTCCAAACTCAACTGAATTACGGCTAAAACGTGCCTCTACTTATACAAGAGTATTAAACAATTTGTATGCAGCAGAACAATAAAAGGTGTGTTGCCAAACCACAGTAAAACAGAACGCCAGGATTTACTTAGGTTAATCCCACTAACTTAAAAAGATAAGGTCAATTAACTGGTTAAAACAATGTACCGAAAAGAAAAACCACAAAAAGCTAATATCTGCTACGGCATTTAAGCAATAATATGTGGGTTTGCGGGCACACGTACAATCATTCCTAAGTGATACACAAGCTTGCTAAATCAAACCGGGAAATTCCTAATCGCCAAAAATATTAGGAGCAAAATAATAAAAGTAATTCATGTCTTGATATAACTATAAGTAGTGAAATTATTGGCCTAGTTACCCTTTCACACTCTCCCCTCCTTTTGCTCATCATAGCACTTGCGAGCTAAACACTACACTACCTAACGTTTCAGGACAGACATAGGCAACCCGTATCGGTTACTATGATGTCCTGCAGTTGATCTGGTAGAACGTCTAACAGGCAGTTCATCATCAGCTTCAGGCTCATCTGCAATGCTCTCATCGAATCACTATTAGAAACGTCAGCTATGCCATCAGGCTTGACATCAACAGGTGGTGGTGCAAACTCAATGGCTACTCCAGTGTGACTGTCATCATCGGATGAAGATGGGTACCGTGGTGCCACAAGAACTCGCCATCTCCTTGCTTTTAGAGGGGTCTTCTGCAGTACAGATGGGGGGCACACGTGTAACTCAGCACGGTTAATGACTCTGGTATTGCCATGTCCGTCTGCTGGTTCAACCACATATGTTCCATTCTCTAATTGGTCAACTACTTTGTGTACTTTGGTACTCCATCGGTCTTGGATCTTGTTTCTCCCAGGTATGGTTCAGTCTCTCACAAGCACTTGCTGTCCAATCTCTACGGTTGATCGTTTCACTCTGCTCTGCTTGTCATACTTCTGCTTGCGAATTGCAGCCTCTTTTGCCAATTTCTCTGCAGCTCATCTGTGTGTACTTCTCAGTTCCTTTTGATGTCTGGAGACCCAGGTAATTGGTTCTTGACCTTGTGTCTCGTCCAATTGAATCAATCGGTCAATCAGCAGCCAGGGGTCTCATCCAAACATCAAATAGAATGAGGAATAACCAGTTGTAGCATGTGGAGTTGCATTGTAAGCATAACAGAGTTCTTTCAGGTGTTCAGGCCACCTCCTCTTCTTCTCAACAGGTAAGGTTCGCAGCAACTCGTGTAGTGTACGATTAAACCGCTCGCACTGGCCATTGCCCTGAGGGCCGTACGGTGTAGGCCGAGACTTCTTAATACTGTAGATTGTGCAGAGTTCTTTAACGACTTTGGTTCAAAGGACCTGCCCTGGTCTGAGTGTAGTCTCTGGGGTACTCCATACACCATGAACCACTCTCGAATGAGGGTTTTTGCCACAGTAACAGCTTTGTGGTCCCTGGTTAGAACTGCTATGGTGAACTTTGTGAATGCATCTGTCAGCACTAACACATTTTCTCGACCATCTGACGCTGGTTCCTACTGTGTAAAATCCATGGCCAGAACTTCAAGTGGCTTGGTGGCTAAGATACTACCCATAGTCCTTGCCATCAGTTAGGGTCCCTTTCCTACCACACAACGCTCACACTCGGAGATCCATTGTTTCACATCTGTGTGCATGCCTGGCCTCCACCATCGTCGCTGCACAACTTGCTCAGTTCTCTCTGGCCCTTGGTATCGAAAGTCATTATGAGCTGCCTTCAGGACCTCACTGCGTAGGGCACTGGGTACTACAAGGAGCTGTTTCAACTGGTCATTGTTGTTTCGCACAGTTCTGAAAAGCAAGCCATCCTTCTCTGCAATGCTGTCCAGGTAACCAACGAGTTGTAGGATTTGTCGTGTCTCTTGCTTCTTTTGTCGTCGGTAATGCTTCAGCCTCACTATTGCTGCATCCTTCTGCTGCAACATGGAAAGCTGATCTCTTGGGATGGATGGAAGACAGGTCGCCTGCTCAGCACACTCATCTGCTGGTGTTGTAACTCTCAACTCTTCTACACGAATAGCGTCCTCCAGCAATCCCAGCTGCACTCTCTCGGGAAGTCTGGTAGTATCAGCAGGTGAAGCTAACGTCTCGGCAACATGGGTGAACTGCTTATCATCATCTGTGTCAGCATCATGTCTGTGTTTGGCGCTCTTGCGAGTCGCTTCCCAACTGACTCGGCTCAGGGCATCAGTATTGGTATTGTGTGTAACAGCTTGATACTCTATTTTGAAGTTAAAGCTCACCAGTTGAGCTGCCCATTGCTGTTCTACTGCTTTCAGCTTGCTCTTGGACTGTAGGTATGTCTGTGGGTTGTTGTCAGTATACACCACGAACTTCGATCCCAGCAGGTACTCCCGGAACTTCTCTGCTCTGGGCCACTTCAGCGCTAGGAGTTCCAACTTCATGGAAGGGTAATTCTTCATGTTCCTCTCAGCTCCACGTAGACCTCGGCTAGCATAGGCAATGACTCTGAGCTTACCATCCTACTTCTGGGATAACACAACACCTAGTCCCTTGTCAGACGCATCAGTCTCTACGATGAACGGTTTAGTGTAATCAGGGTATCCCAGCATTGGTCCACTTGTGAGGGCTTTATGCAAATCATCGAAGGCTTTACGGCCTCTCCCTCCCAATGCTCATTGGTAATGGTACCTTTCTTGTTCTTTCCCTTCCCTGAGATTTCGGCTACTAGCTTATGGAGTGGAGCTGCTGCTGCGAAGCCATGGACAAACCGTCTGTAATAGGATGCGAACCCCAAAAATGACCTCAATTCCTTCAGCATTCTTGGGGTGGGCCACTGCGACACTGCCTCAGTCTTTGCTGGATCGGTTGCCACGCCCTCTGCCGACACCACGTGACCAAGGTACTTGACACGACTCTGGAAGAACTGACACTTTTCTGCTTCTATCTTGAGACCATGTTCTCTCAGCTTCTGGAAAACTCGGTCAAGCCATTTGAGGTGATCTACAATGGTGTCACTGTACACAATGATGTCGTCCAGGTACACTAGAAGAATCTGCAGTAGCTCTGTAAACAAAAACAAAACTGTAATATACTACTAAAATACTTCCAGTTACACTTTCACTACTCACATCATTAGTTGCCAACCCTTTGGCGATATCACTCACTTTCTCCGAAGTTACAACATCATCACACTTACTGATTAGAGGTCAGTTGTTTCCTGTGGAAACTGTTCACAGTAACTAAATGAAAGCAATAGGAATCATCAACATTAACTTTGTCAATGTTCTCTTCCCACACTGTAATAACAATGGCACCAGTGTTATCTCTGAGTACCAAATCGCACTTATTCAGATCTTTCTTCATGATACGCGAATATATACTTGAAACTTCTAGATTCTGTAGAACTTTTGCCTTCAAGGTGACAACATCCCTGTCAGATTTCTTGTCTAGAATTTCCTTTATGGACATTTCACAGCATCGTTCAAGCTCCTTCCACTGGAATGAAAGATTTTTCACTCTGGAAACCCTTGAGAATTTGTTCATTCTGTACTCTACTTGGTCTGTGTATTTCCTTATGCTAGGACTCACATTGGTTTCCGTGACGGGGATCTTGCACTCTTCTTTCTCTTTCACCTGATCTCTCCTCTCAGTGTTGAAACAAACAACTCTCATCTGGTCCTGCCCTTGCTGAAACTTAAAGTCGAAATATCTGTTGGATCTCGGATTGGCAGGGATTTTGACTGGGGAGACATCATGAATGTATCGTTGAATATCTTTGTACGACACTTCCTTCTGATCACTACTTGAAGCCATTGTGCAAGACGCAAAGTCAATGTACTTTCTCTAAAACATTAACATTTATACCCACACCAACAACCAAAAAAACACCATATCAAATCTCAAGAACAATCTGCCTAAAATATACCTTTTAAGGACAAAAAACTGTCAAAACAAACCACAATTCATTATAAGAAGAACAAAACGTACGCTAATTTCTAAAAACAAACGCACCCACAAAAAAACTAAAAAACATCATATCAGGTCTCAAGACCAATGTGCCTAAAATATTCCCTTTTAAGGACATGAAAACCTTGCCATCTTTATCAATCAAACTAGTTTCAACTGTCAAAACAAAAAACAACTCATTATAAGAAGAACAAAAAGCACTCTAATTTCTTACAAACAAACACACCCACAAAAAAACTAAAAAAGATCATATCAGGTCTCAAGACCAATGTACCTAAAATATTCCCTTTTAAGGACATAAAAACCTTGCCATCTTTATCATTCAAACTAGTTTCAACTGTCAAAACAAAAAACCAATTCATCACAAGAAGAAGGAAAAACACCCTAATTTCTCACAACAAACGCACCCACAGTAACAAACAAAAAACACCATATCAGGTCTCAAGAACAATCTGCCTAAATTACACTTTCTAAGCACAGAAAAGAACACACCTACCATCTTTATCGATCAAACTAGTTTCAACTGTCAAAACAAAAAACCAATTCATCATAAGAAGAACGAAAAGTACTCTAATTTCTAACAACAAACGCAGCCCTTAAAATTCCACAAACGCAAATTTCTAAAGATCTACAATCACTGCTTTTTGCAGAACCCTCACATCAACCTCACCGATCCCCTTAGTTAGAACATATATAGTGGTTGATAGAGACACTACGTAAAGTCTTAAATAAATGAAAGAACGTCAACATTTGCTTTTACAATGATAATGGGAAAATAGGCTAAATTTGAAATACTAAGACGTTCAATCAGTTCATAACAACAATATCCCGAAAATATACCTTTTTAAGACCAAAAAAACCAAACCTGACAACATTGTAAATCAAACGGGTTTAAACTGTCACAACAAAAAATAACTCATCATAACAAGAAAGAAAAGCACGCTAATCTTTAACAACAAACACAGCTCTTAAAAGTCCAGGGTCAAAGATCCACTTCCAGAAATCGTAGGAAAGTCAATAGCCCAATTAATATGAAAAATCTTAGATTAATAGAGAGGCTATTTTCTGCTATTTATCAGCCTTTCTTAAAGTGTAGGCAATCTCAGTTTAATTTTGCTCCTTCGTAGATGTATTTCACAAAAAACTGTCTTTACTACTCCATCCCGGAACCAAACAAGTAACACAGTTCTTTCAACAAAGGAACGATCATCACTCCACTTATTAAATGCATAACAGAAATTTCACACCATCTTCAACAAAAAAGGAAAATGTACAATCAAGTCGATACTTGAAGTAAGAACACATCTAAGATCTACAGAAGCATTCTAATATACGCCCTTTTCAAGCGAACTGAACCACCTATTATAACTTTATCGGGTCCAATCAACAAAACTCCTTTTTAAGCCTGTCCACAATCCTTTGAAACATTCAACTATTTGTCTTTTCATGAACTGGACATACAATGAAACTGCAAATGGATGTGTTAGGATAATTGAGAAATCAACCTAAACTCGTTTGACTACTTCAAAAAAAGACCAGAATTTTCAACACACAGCTCGTCACTAAAACGACGACAAAACACATTTTTTCAAGTGGGGGGAGGGGATTACAACTATCTTGCAGTAGAGAGACTAAGTAGACTCTTCTAAAAAAAAAAAGTACACAACCATAAAAGTTCACTTGAAGGCAGCAGAGAGTTTTAACTCAAAAATATTTTCTTCTCGTATCATGAGTACCACACACTGACTTACTGAAGGCCATCAAAAGCCTGACAATTTTTACTCATTCCATCACTGTTTTCCTGACATATCTTTTCTGACAAAACCACTCACCATCCGCCCCGCCGAAATTCAATAAACAAAAACCAGTTTGATAAGTTTTTATTTCTAACCAATCAACAACAATATCCACGAGCGCCACAAATGGACCAGTTCCAAGTATAACATTACTTAAAGTATTAGAACCACTATAACGTCAAAATAAAATCGCTTATTTGAAATGTACTCTTAACCTGAACTTAAATTCCAATATGAAACATTTTCGTTATATAGAAACCAAGAAAACGAAGGCCAAAGTTGGTATCTAAGAACGCTATTTTTGGAAATATTAATAATCACAGGGCTGACATCCGACGCGATACTCTACCTCGTTGCCAGAAATGTTGCAACTTCACAACCCGGCACCCAATAAAGCGTTATTAGTTTCAAGTAAACTAAGGCAAATTATAACAAAATTCTCTTACATTCTGCTTCCCAAAATAAAGTACAATCGTTTTAATATTTCCAAATCATTTCTATGGCTATAAAAAGCCTTCTAAAGACAAATCAGGTATATGATCCTTGCAAGATCAATGAGAGATAAGGCCGCAATTAAATGACCTATTATGCAAAGTAGCACGTTACTAAGGGTAACACATTGTTTACCGCGCCATATTGAGAGCACACGTAACGAGTTTAAATGAAAATTTTGCATTTTCTCGTCACTTTCCTTGCTATAATCGCGTCACTGTCACAACAACATTAAGAAGAGCGGTTTGCTCATAAAATTCAAGATAACGACGAAGAAAACAGCGCAGTGCAATGAAAACTAAGGGCAAATTAAGGGCAATTTTGCGGCTCCGTTGAACCACACTGAAAACAAATTGATATACAAATATAAGAATTTATAATACCGCGCTGAAACTTGCGGGGTTTTGATTCACGTAACGTTAAGGAAAAATTAATTAAATTCCCGGCAGTTGCTGGAATATTTTGAAATTTTGCCAGCGGCCTGAAGTTCCAGGGAGTTACAGAAAAAAAAAAATTCCACCTCTAGATCTCAGGAAAAATTTACTGGCTACTGCCGGGAATTTAAAGATAAATGAACAATCTAAGTATCAGTCAATCCAAGAGAGATTCTCTCTTGGTCAGTTCCATTTTTTAATTCATAGATATCGAGAGAAAGCCAGAAATATGGAATTTTTGAATTTTTGAGCCTGCGGTATAAATCGGAAATAACACCCTAGCTATCCCTTAGCTATGAAAATTGACACCTCAGACATCAATTTTCTGAAAACTCAGCTCTAGCTTAGTAAACCTATGTAACTTGTATTTAGCAAAATTCTTTATTATTATTGAGGAATAATTTTTTCAAATGGAATAGTTTATAACAGATCTTATACCTCAAACTTTAAACACACATTCCCCTTATAAATTTTTAATTTTATATCCCATCTATGTTGAATAGTATATCTCTTCTAAGAGGCTTAATAGGTAGTGTCCTTCGTTATTCTTGCGAGGTACGCTGTATTTTGACAAGTCCACACACAATCAACCCTCCAAAAGGTTATATCATGTTTTACTTTCATTACTGAACTGTCTTTTCTAGACTAATTCAATTCATCCATGAGTTCGCTCCTAGGAGCCTTTGATTGCTTATCGAAAGCTGTCGATTGGAGCCGTTTCCAAAAGACACAATACTATTAACTACAGAACTTTTAACAATTTCAGTTGTGACCATTTTCGCAGCGACATTGCTTCTCAAAACTGGGATGTCTTAGACAATTTTCAAGACCCAAATGACATGTGGCGAGTGGAAAATTAAGTCCTTAAATGTTGTTGACACTCATACTCCTTAACGAACAAAGTGGGTCCATACAAAAAGACCCCCATGAATTACTTCAGAGTTGAAAAAACGTATGCATGAACGAGACATCATGAAGTTGAAAGCAATACGTTCAAAGAACCCACAAGATTGGGGTGAACTTAAACGACTTTGCAGCAAAGTTAACAGTAACATCAAGATCGCAAAGGAATCTTATTACAAACAATCATTTACTGGACACAAAAATGACTCTCGACGCACCTGGCAAACTACTAATGAACTTACATCTCGCAAAAGTAACACCTCCTCTATTAAAGAACTAATTGTAAATGGTGTTTCAATAAACAAAACTACCGACTTGGCAAATGCGTTTAATGAACATTTTTCCACAATTGGCCTGAAACTTGCTAATGAGATCCTGTGAGAAGCTAACGGTGACAAAAGTTGTCTTGAACATCTGAACATCACTGACCAAAGATTCTGTTTTTTTCTGACAAATAGCAGTCAGTTATTTTCACTATTGAATAAACGTAGCAAATCAAAAGCAAGCGGTCTCGATAAAATATGTGCTAATTTAAGTTGCATTTCTATTTGCAAGATCTTTAATTGTTCTTTGACTACAGGCATATTCCGAGATGACTGGAAATGTGCTAAAGGTACTCCTTTATTCAAACAGGGAAGTTCGAATGACATAAACAATTACCGTCCCATTTCTGTTATCTCTTTGGTGGTCAAGGCATTCAAAAGAATAATGTACAATCAAGGGTACGTGTACCTATCAGAAGATAGCATTATTTCAAAAAGTCAATCGGGATTTCACTCTATCCATTCTACGGTCACTGATCTGCTAGAGGCGACCGATAGCTGGGCTTTTGATATTGATCGTGGAAACGTTAATGCTGTAGTTTTTCTAGATTTAAAAAAGACCTTTGATACAGTAGACCTCACGATATTACTGTCTAAATTAAGTACCTAGAGAATTCAAGAAAATACTTACAATTGGTTTAAATCATACTTAGAAAACCGAACTCTAATATGTTCTGTTAGTGGTTCACTTTCCAAAACCTGCTCTCTCCAATGTGGTATCCCTCAAGGGACTATACTGGGTCCTCTATTGTTTTTGCTATACATAAACGACTTACCAAATTGTTTAACTAACTCTTATCCTAGGAGGTATGCAGATGGCACGCATCTTACCCACGCTGATAAAAATTTGAATATCATTCAGTCCTGTTTGAATGAAGACTTGCTAAATATCAGCAAATGGGTGATCGCTAACAAACTCACACTTAACGTGACTAAGACTGAATTTATGCTAATCGGCTTGAGACAAAACCTAAACGCCCTAACTGCCTCTCCCGTTCTGAGCATCAATGGTACTTCTGTAAAACAGGTACCAATGTCAAAATCTCTAGGTGTACTCATTGATGCAAACCTTACCTGGGGCAGTCATGTCGAGAAGTTGGCTAAAAAAATTGCCTCCGGTATTGCAGCTATCAAACGGGTGAGCCATTTGTTCCCCCAGCAACATTGCATCTTATCTACAAAGCCTTGATACAGCCGCATTTCGACTATTGCAATGTTGTTTGGGGAAGGTGTGGCATAAAACTAGCAGACAAACTTAAAAAACTCCAAAATCATGCAGTGCGAGCTCTAACTTTCTCAAGATATGAACCAGATGCGTCGCAGCTGTTCCAAAATTTAAATTGGAAAAATCTTAGCACTCAGCGTGATATCCAAAAGCCTTAATGGCCTTGCTCCTGAGTACCTAAGCTCGAAATTTATTGCTTGATCCACAACCACTTCATACACTTTTCGAGATTCTGTAAATAAATTAACTATTCCACAGCCACGCACTGATTATCTCCGTAATAGTCTTCGCTACAGTGGTGCTGTTCTGTGGAATAGTCTTCCTGAAACTTAAAGGCAAGCAGAATCCCCAAGTAATTTTAAGTCACGTTTGCACAACTGTTACAATATCAAGTAAGGCACGGCATTGATGGAAAACAGGCTTTTTTTTTCGTATATACTTGATTGAATAATTTTAATATTGTATTTAGCAAAACCCAGTAAATGTATTTAAGGCTTTTTAAATTTTTGTATTTCGTGCCTGATGAATCTGTACGACCATGGATAAATAAAGATTACTTACTTGCTTACCCATTTGTCTCCTGGACCTGGGCATAGTAGGCATTGTTCCTTTTTAGTTTACATTCTGTGTTACTTATCTTCTCCATAAAGAAATTTGGGCATGAGCATGCCCCAAGAGCATGAGGGAGGGGGAAGGGGTTCACGTGAAACTTGGTATGAGAACATTTCAGCTCAGCTAAACAAAAGCAAATAGAGCATACAAAGTTGATAACTTTGGCATCAGGTGGTAAGCCAAGAACAAGAAAAGCTTGAGAAACAACAACTCCTCTTTTAAGTACAAGAGCAGGTGTTTTCCTGTTAAACATGAATTTTTTCATACTCTTGGAGAGCAACAGGCTCGTACTTCATACCATGAGCAACATATAAAGCAAAGCTCTCATGATTTCGTTGCCACTTGGCAATGAGCTGAAAACTTGAAGCAAGGAATCTTTTCTAAATTTCAAATTCTGATTGTTCCCTTGTACTAGCTTCATTTAAAATCACCTTATCTTCATCCACAAATGCAATAACAAAGGTGCTTCTTCAGTACTCAGTTCTCGAGGGGTAACCATAGGATTTTCGTTGCCTAACAGTTTTTCTCACCTATGTCTAATTATATTCTCCATTTACTTTAATGTTTTGATTATAATCGTGTAATAATGCATTAAATTATATTTTGCGGCTTACACGTCAGTTTAAAACACTTGCTTTATAGAGTGCAAAATGTTGGTACTAATTTAATTGTTTCCGGTTTTCTCATTAATTGTAGAACTTATGACAAGCCCCCTGTTCAGCTGGAAAGGTTGATAAAAGCCGTAGACACCTTGTGGGTATCAGTGCTTGCAAAATTAGCAATAAAATCACAAAGCAATCCGGTCAAGGGAGGCCAGGCAAAAAAAGTGCAATTCTTCTAGAAAGAAAAGAATGACTTTTGAAAGGTGTCAGCTCCCAGAAAACTTGGACGTAATTACTGATAGCAATGGGGATGGGTCGAGGGTTGAGTACCCCTTCATTCGTTTATTTTTAGTGAAGTCCCAAAAAACATTTAACATAGTCCATTGAGAGCTTCAAGAAGATATAGCAAATGCTGGTTTAGAAGCTTTCCCTTGACTTTAGCCTACAGAGAACTTCAGTGTAAAGACTAGTTTTCTAATTGTTTACTCCTTGTGGGTTTCCATATTTTCCTCTTGACAAATTTCCCCCAGTTGTTTGACGAGTTCAGCTTTGTTTTTGTTGCTGAAGCCTTTGACATTTCTCTTTTTAATTCATCTTTCAATCCTTTCACTGTCATGAGAAAAGTAAGTGCCATTTCTAGTGAACTTAGACGGGGGATGCTCATTTTGAGCTTCACCTGATTGTTGCAGATGTTCCTGACCTAAATTTTCTCTTGCTTTGTCCGGTTTTCTCTAATTTCAACGTCCCAGTAGCTTTCTTTGTGCTTTGTGTAACTACGTACTTCCCAATCATGTTCTCTAAGCTCCCACTGATGTTGCTCTTGTCGCAGAACATCCCCAGCAGAATCCCAATTGTTGGACTTTTGCAGAATTATTGCACGAGCTACATCATTGTTCTTTTCAACCCCTTGTCCCGTAAATATTTTGACTGACTTGTGGAGCTCAAAGAATTTGGAATGTGTGCTACCACAATGTGCATGTATTGGGTAACCCTGGCTTTCTCATACCCTGCTCTTTGGCCATTTACACTTTTTACTCTTTCTCAGGGTGCCAGTTATTGACAACTTTGGAAATTTCAAGGAACTCTGTCCATACTTCAACGACAGCTGATACTGTTTCTGGGCGGAGAATGCTGTTTAACTTACTGGGAAGGTCAGCCAAATGGAACTTCTTGTCTTTTCCTAAGAGGCTTGTCCAGTCGTGTTTGCCACTTGCTTTCCCATCAGCATTTCGTTGGTCCCGCACATCAAACGAAACACCACAAGATCTGATTACCCTAATCGTAACCCTTTTGCTATTCCCTTTTTTACTGTGAAAGTGATCATATTTATTCCAGTCTAGGAACTCCCACACTAGATTTCCAATCAAGATATCTTCGACATGCAGCATTAAGTGAAGCTCACCTACCAATGTGTGATCAAGCGGGATATTCAACAAAGGTTGTTTATCGCAGCAGCAGTGATTTTCTGTCGACAAAATACCTATTAGAATACTTCTTGATGTGCTCTTTGGTGTGTTTAGGTTTTCTAAAGTGTCTTTAAATGCCCTGGCATCTTCATTCATGACATTTTAAAACTTCGTCGCCATCTTGACACTGAGACGTACGGAAGGTTGCCATGGCAATTTTTTAATTTCACATGTGAGATTACAAATTATCGCTGAAATTTCGCTCCAAAATTAAGGAGTAATTCGTCACCTATGATATTACTGCTTTTAATTTTACTCCGTGTCATTATCACTAATAAATTTCAGGCGTCTTCTTGTTTTGACGGGGTTTACCTCATCCGATGATAAAAATTCATTCCAGGGACAAGTATCTTCGTCACTTGATGACTCATACTCAGTTTGTTGCCTCCGAGCTCTTGGGGGGAGACGCCCTTTCTTTTCGTATCACTTCGGTTTTAAGTGTTTTAAGTATCTGGACCGCATAGAATGCCATGTCCTGTTAGGGCACACCTAAGAAGGTCAAATTAAGGTTGGTTAGATCAATCAACTGAGATTTATGTATACAATCGATATTTTTTTGCTCACGTTCTTCAACTCCGCCTGTTTCCATATCAGATTCCCTCGTACTAGAGGGCCCCGGCCTAAAACATAAGAATGAATGGCCTGGTCTTCCTCTAGTGTGTATAGACGTCTGGACATTTTCTGTAAAGTAGAAAGTTAACAATACTTTAAAATTATATAATTAACATGAATAGCATGGGTAACAAGGTTGAGTACAAACATTAACCACACAGGACCGCACCATTTTTTCGCTGTTGTGTTGATTGATTATGTCTACTTGTTACTTTTGCTGATCAGGTCTTTAGAGGACCAGAAACGAATATACCGAAGAACATAGGATGTCGTGAGGATGTGTTACAGAGTCAATCTTCACGCAGTACGATCATGCTTGTAGAATTTAAAATGTAACAATGTTGGTTTCCTGGTCCCCCCCCTTTAAAAAAATATGAGATAACTCTGAGATCCATTGACTATACCAAGAGTTCTATTTCCTTTATCAGACATAACTGACTCCCTTGTTTGCAAAATAGGAAATGAAAGTAAAATAAAGTTTGAATTTCGGGTCATTCTTGCACCATCACCGTTGATTTTGATTTTGATTTTACCATTGATAAGGTCGAAGTCATTGTTTTTCTTTGAGATAATCAGAGATATGTTCTTTGGACACAGTTTAACCGAATTTACTTTTGCCTCTTCAAAATTTGCATCTGGTGAGTCAATTTGGCACATTTTGTATAGGTCATCACGGCATTGCTTGACCAAATTTGACCTTGGTAGACCATCTGTGATCATAGAGAGTTCATGGTAAAATGCATCTCCCACACAAAATTTGTCTAATAGAGGATTTTTTTTCAACATTCTTTTTTTCCTCTTCTGACAAGGTGCTGAAGCTGCTTTTGCCTTCACCTTGAACACTTTGGCGGTAGTCAGTTGAAATTGCACTGTTTTCCTTGTAATTATTTTTCCATCGTGATTGTATTGTAAGACCAGGTTCCAAACACTGTTAATTTAAAAGAATTACCGTTTGGGGTAGCATGAAAAAGTCGCACAGGAATTTAACAAATCATTATTATAACCTAAACTGTGACACAATGTTCTTTAGATATGAACTCATTTTTACTTCCAGGATTACGTGTTTGAACATGGAGAGATCTGTAATTAATTCGAGATGCCTGGGTTTGACAGCTTCTCACCTAAAATATTACGATTTTAAATATATTTGCGTTATCTTGCTTATTGCTCTCCTTGGGCGGCAAAACTGAGTTGTTTGTCACCTGAAAAAAGGATATTCCCATACTTACAATAGGCTTGTTATGGTGTCATCTTCAGAGTCAAAGTGAGTTGACTTGTGACTCTTTGCTGAGGAAAAGAATGTTGCTATATGTAGCCTGGGATGCCTTGCCATAGGCTACTGTACCATACCTTTGTATAACAGCCTCAACTTTCTCTTGGGACATTTGATCTCCAAGTGATTTGTGTTTTAGTGACTTTGGTCGCAGGTTTCCATGGAGTGTAAAAACACAAGCATCTTGCTGTTTCCAACTAGGTTTTTCTTCCTCTTCAGTTTCTGTCGTCTGGGTGTTAATTTCCATGTGCAGATTATTTCTGTCACTTATGTTCACAGCTGCATCGTCCCGTCTCTGCAGTTTTCAGAGGACTTACATTTTATGGCAATGGAATTTTTCATAAATGGCATTACATGGAATCGGCGGTCAGAAATCAGTCTTATTAAATTTTCATGAAATAGGAAATTTCAGGTCATTTAATTGTATAATATGAGAATGGAAAGTTTAATACCGTAACTTTCATCAAAACTTTTCTTGCTAAAGTGATTTTTGTCTACACATGAGTGCTTTGTCGGTTGAAACGATTCTTTTTAAAAATTTTCAGCCACTCTTTTCCAATTCTGGGATCATCAGGAAATTTAAACGCATTTTCAATTATGCTGCTGTTTATGGCCGCAAAAAACAGCATAATTTTCCAAGGAAAGTCGACTTGAAAAACACTGTTTTGAATTTCCCGCTTTTTCCCACCTTACAGTAGGGTTATTTGAAATATATTATATATGTATTCATCTGCATAATGAAATCCTTTGTACTCACATTCCAGCCTTTCAGCCTATATGCAGTTAACTGTACATGATGGCGATGGAACTCTTATATCCTTGCCAAAGGAGCCCCAGCACCACCTTACCAATCGCCTGCAGGCAATGTGCTTGTTTTTTCTTATGATTCGTATGTGGAGGCACCATACTGCAGCTTGTATTGCAACCATGCAGCTTGTAACACGCAGTAATTCAGGCAAACTGCGTGGAATCCTGGGAGTTCTGCGATGCACTTTGGAGGTTCCTCCATATTTTCAACTTCAACTGCCTCCAAATTTTTACGTTTTACAATGTTGTTTTATTGTAAATACTGAACGTCACAACCTTTTCATTTTGTACCCAGAAAATGATCAAAGGTTTATGGCCTTATAATATCTCCCGTCCATAACCACGAAATAATGAATATCCAAGTACCTATGGTTATATCACATGAAATGCAATATTAAAATGACATTAACACAACCATTGCACCAGACAAAAACATGAGAGAATATAAATATGCCCCAGCCTCGAAAATCACATTCTCAGGAGCAGAGACCTCTTATGCAAGCAGTTAATTTACATGAGCACAGAAAAGCAAACTTTTCATAATAACATCAGGATACACAGAAGCTAGAATAATCACTTCTTAGACAAATTCATTGACAGCATGAGACAGTAAGTTAGTGGATTACTTGAAGTTAAACTATACAGTGCTTTTCACATCTTATGTATAACAACTACAAAGACACTCCACGAGTGGAACAGAAACGGCTGTCATTGGGGCAATGATATAGAAATGTTATTTACTGTGGTCAACAGATTATGAGAGCGTAGTTATTACTTTTGGTGTGAATCACTGCCTTTTGTAAACCACTATTACACCAGAAATAACTGGAGAAAGAGCTAGAGCTGTCACTTAAGAACTAGAGTTCGTCTTATTAGAGACCATTTGTTTTAAGCTTCCTTACTTACAACCAAACAAGATAATGCATTTTCGGCAGTTTTGCTTTGTCCTTATACGAACAGTGTATGCCAAGATTTTGCACATAAGGTAGTTCATCTCAGCCAACACGTTTTCCTTGTCTTGTCTTCTACAATGTCTGCCTTGTCTTTCTGCTTCTTTTCCAAAACAAAGATTAAGTTCAGTTGTTGTGATGTTCCTGATCCATTTATTGTGCACTGTAAGTTATCAATGTTGTCCGCGATCATCAGACTGACGAGTAACTGCTTTCACCTTCTTTGATTTATGAAGAATCAATTTCCTCCACAAGGAGGTTTGGGACAAACAAATGCCACAAATTTAGAATTACACTTGACTGGTGTTTCACTGTCCTCACATGTACAGAAGACTTACATTAAAGCTGCAGTATCTGTTGGCAATAGCCCATTTATTGTCTTAACATTTTTGTATATAATTTTAGTTGAAATAACTAAAGATTTTTTAAAATTCTTAAACAATAGTTACGAAAGACTTACCACTGTTCTGATAGTAAACTGTTATTTTACTGTAATAAGCTGTCTTCTGTTCTTATGATCATTACAATAATAACCAACTGACAAAATCTATCGAAGAGTTACAGTGTAAGTATTACTCTCCTAAAAATATAACTGGAATATCTTGTAAGGTGTAGGAAAATACAATTGATTTGCCACTTTACAAACGAGAAGGGAACTGAAGTGGAAATTTATTGTAGCAATTATTTTTGGGATTGTTTCTGGGGGGATAAAAATGGTTATCCCACAAATTTTGTTAAATGCTGCGTGAATTTTCCCTGTCCTCAGAAAAAGTCCCATTACTCTTTGTAAAGAGTAACTCAGACTAGTTTCCTTTTCATTCTACAGTGGTGAATGTAAAAGCAGCAGAAAGTTGTTTCCTGTGTATTTTTTTTAACACCACATTGGGAAACAATCTTACACTCAGGAGGGGCAAACCCATTCAATATCAGGCTCTATTGTAATTCAACATATGACATGTGAAACCACTGGAGTTTGCTGCCAGGCTTGTCACACCCGGTACGTTGGCTATCCTCAATATGCTGTTGGCAGTAGCATAAGGGTCCATCTTCATCGCTCTCTGTTTATGGTGTTCAGTGAGGTGTGGCTGAGCACTGGAATGTGTGCACCATTGTCCTAAACTCTTTGGGAGAAATCCTCTCCTGTAGAATAGTATTGCCATCGTCAACACTGTCCCAAAACTCAGTGCCAGGTAACACGTGCTGAACGAACATGTCCTTTGTAGTCCAGACAACAAAATCACAGTACTCCACTCCAGTTACAAACAACTGGCACTGTACTTAATAGTAATAAGGATGAACAGTGCAAGCACAGATCAACCCCATCTTATTTCAAAGAGCAACTGCTGTCCTTTGCAGCAGTAACCAGCATGGCATCCTTGTTCTTATAAGGACATTTAATTTCACAGTCCTTCTCCGCAGCACTCAGAAAGAACAAGATCATCAGGTGAAGCCCCTTAACAGTGGGTAGTTCTCGTTTATGTGTAGCCATTGTCCTTTCCAGACAAATTGAGGCACTGAACTGCAATTGAAAACTCGTATGCTTCTCCTGCTTTGCTCTCGTTTGATATTCCCCATCTTGTTGCTGCATTTGTGAAGCGATGAGCCCTAGGATAACAAATCATCTTAATCAGGCTTTTTGATGGCTTATCGGGATTGGTTGAGCAAGCAGGTTTAAACTTTGAGGCAGTCACTTGGCCTTCTCTCTACTCAAACCACACTTTGCGATCTACCTGGTCTCTTGTTGCTTCCTCAACAGTTTCTGCTTTCTTGATACCTAACTTGAGCTCATTAGAAGTTGTGTCAGACTTTTTCAGTAATTCCTGCAAAGTGGTTTTGAAATTCTCTTCATTCAACTGCTCTGTTAATGGCTTTGGCGTTGTTTTCTTCTCAGTAGGTACAAAAGCAGCATTATACGGTGCAATAATGGATAGAATGGCTGGTTTGATCTCACAGTTTGAAATGCTTTCGAAAAAGTAGGCCTGTTTTTCTGCTGTGGTTGCTTGGACATTTGCCCTCTCTCTGGGGTCTGGGGTAGCACACCCAAAGTACTATGCCATTTCTTTGCAGAGGAATTTCACAAACAGGAATGTAGGGAATTTCCTTAACATATTAAGGCATGACCCACCCTGCTTTTTTCCTGCATACCTGTAACCGAATCTCGCATTAAAACCCCAGCTTCAATGGCAAAACCAAGAGCCCCAAGGTGTGAGCAGGCATTGCAAAGTCCTGCTATGCAGTTATAGTGCGCCAGGCACACGTTTGCATCCTTTTCAGAAAGGAGTCATGTCTTCAGAGGCATCTCTCTTGCTCCTTGTGGGTGACTTATGCATCATTCAATTTTACTTGTTACCATCCCCGCTGGGCATACCCCTGGGGATTTGAAATTTTTTTCGTTCTTAGTAGTCCGTTCCCCACCCCCAAGCTCCTGATCGACCTCAGATACATTTTTTGAGGCTACATCATCTTGACAGCAATATTCGTTTGGAATGGCAAACTACAATTTATCAAGAGTTCTATACACAATAATTAAAGTCTATTGACACAGTATTTTAAGGTACTGATAATGGTCAGTTAGTCAGAATTTTCTTAAACCTGGGGGCACGGTTCTCCTTTAAATTGTCTCTCTTTCCAGTTTATCCAGTCTGGGTTCTATTTGGGCCCATGAACCATTTGACATTCTTCTCGTGTAGTCTGATTTCTTGAGAATCATTCTCAATCCAGTCCCTGTAGGCATCGGGAGCGGTGTGCATTTGGTTGTGCATTTCTAAAAAATGCCACTCCCTCCATTCTAAGTTTTTTCTTTCTTCCTCCCCCTTTTTCTTCTCTCCCTTTCTCCTTTCCCTCATTCGCATCCTCTTCTTAAAATTTCTCTCCATCTTCCTTAACCTCTCCTCCTTGTTATCATCCCCCCTCCTCCTCAGTCTGATTTGTGTTTGTTAGGTTTCTTTCCCTACACTCTTTTCGTCTCTTTATTCATCCTTCTTTTCCTGAACCACCAGCCGTGTCAGTGATGATCATAATTGAATAAAAATTATAGAGCAATCTGTGGTAGATGGTTTAGTGCTACAGCAACTGTATTGACTTGGTCTTCGACATGAAGATTTTAGTATGAAAACAATCAGCATAACAAGTGAAATAAAGTAAAATAAAACGTAAGTAAGAGAGAAAGGAACAACAACTATATATTAAACGTTAATATAGAAAATTACGTGGCTATGTACGGCTATGGGTTACTGGGGACTCTCACCACGACGAGGTAGCACTACGGGAGAGTCGAAAGATGTGAATACATGAATTGTGTATAAGAGACGGGAAAGGAGGGTTACAGGTGGCTCTCTTACGGCACTCCCCAAGGGTTGGTTACCTCAGCTCGTGTTCTCCGACACAAGAGCCAACCTGTGGTACCTAGTGTTGTTGTTTTTGTTGTTACAAAGATATGGACCATTGGAGTAGTAAAGGAAGGAGTATGGTGGTTGAGGACTTGCGAACAACTGAAATGGGAAAGAAGAGGAGACCTTAAGAGAAGAGACAGTATTGCCATGTATTGGTGAATATGAAACCCCGGTTTGAGGCATGGGCCCTGTTGGCCATGAAGAGGAGTTAGTGACAATTTTGCGTCGGACTACGTAGGACTAGTACCGACTAGAAAGATATGAATATATGAGTGGCGTGGAACAGACAGTAAGGGACATCCGCAGGTGGCTCTCTTAGGGCACTCCCCAAGGGTTGGTTACCTCAGCTCGTGTTCTCCGACACAAGAGCCAATCTGTGGTAGCTAGTGTTGATGTTTGTGTTGTTATAAAGGATATAGACCATTGGAGTAGCAAAGGAATGAGGATGGTGATTGAGGACTTGCGAACAACTGGAATGGGAAAGAAGAGGAGAGTTGAAGAGAAGATAGAGTATTGCGATCGATTGGTGAATATGAAATCCCCTTTGAGGGATAGGCACTGTTGGGCACTAAGACGACTTATTGGGGACTGTCCGCCGGACTACTTAGGACTAGTACGGACTGGAAAGATATGAATAGATCAGTGGTGTCGAACAGACAGTGAGAGGTCCACAGGTGGCTCTCTTACGGCACTCCCCAAGGGTTGGTTACCTCAGCTCGTGTTCTCCGACACAAGAGCGTACCTGTGGTACCTAGTGTTATTGGTGTTGTCTGTTCTTAGAAAGAATGTAGACCGTTGGACCAGCCAAGGGATGACAATGGTGATTGACCCGTTAGGAACAAGTGAAACGGGAAAGAAAAGGACACTTGAAGAGAACAGAGAGTATTGTCAGGGATTTGTCAATATGGTGGCCTCTTCAGAGTTGGACTGGTGTTAGCTGATCGGCATAGATCGGTTGCAGCAGAGAGATGGCCGATTTCCTTTTTACTCTGGAGAGGCCGACGTATGCAGTACCGGCTGGAACCAAGGGGGAGTCCAGCCAGATGATAAGATGGTGAATGTTTTGGCCCTGAGCCTTGATGATTGTCTGCGCATACGCCGGGGTAAATGGGTAACGAGTGACTGGCACGTCGTCCTCAATATGTGTCACCAGGTATACGAAAACCTGTTGTCCCTCAAACAAGCGGAGAATGATTGTGTTATTCTGAGATGAGATTATGGTCGCCTGTTGACCGTTCACCACACGGGCAGCTTTGTCGCGGTTCTCGGTGAAGATGACACGCATGTTACGGTACGGGTAGATGGGTTCCGAGTCCGCAACAGAGGCGCAGGGGATGTTGCTAAGCGGGCGTCCCTTAAAGAGTTGGCCAACGACGATGCTGTTAATGCGTTGGGCTCCTTTGCGGGAGACTGTCATCACGGAGGTGTTAGTATGGGTCTGGAAGGCCGTCCAGATTTGTCGGTCTGTCAGGTCACCTTCCGGGCAAAGAACTATTCCCTGTTGCATTCTGTCCACCTGCTCCTGAGTTGGCCGTATGAAGCGGATGAGATCCAGAAACGCGGCATATTGGGCATCGACGATTCTGAACTGCTGGTGTAAGCGATGGATGACTGCATTGTTTGACGTGAAGGTGGTGTTGTCGTTTATGATGGAAGTGGTGGATGTGATACGCCCGTTGACGGTCTGGAGAGGTTGTTGTTGACACTTGTCACCTGCCAGGACCACAACGGGGCGAAGATTGACGCGATTGAATGTAGATGCCATGACTCCAAAGATGGGTGCCGAGATCATGGAGGCCTCGTCCACAACAATCATGTCATACTGGTTCATCCTATGGTTGATCTCGTTGGGCAGAGGGCCGTCTATGGGGATGCTGAAAGCACCATGGAGAGTGTCGGTCGTGACCTCGTCATAAAATATGGAGTTGTAGCCTTGGGCCAGCAAGGCTACAGGAGCAGCAACTAACACTGAGAGCTCATGGCGAATAGCGTAATCAATTGCACGGATTAGAACTTGGGATTTTCCTGTCCCAGGCTTCCCCAGAAGAAGGCGGTATTTTTGCCAATTGGAGTTAGCAGCGTCAGAATGGTTGTCCTCGGACAGAAGAGATTGGCGGCAGGAAAGGGCTGCGGTGATGTCGGCAAGTATGGCAGATTGATGAGGTGACAGCGGGTACAGCGATTTTAGAGAGAGGACAGATCGGCGACTTGATTGGTGACCACACGAATGCGCCAAAGGTGGAGTATGTCGTGAAGAGATTGGACGTAAGATATAATGGTATTTATAAAGTAAGATTTATGGCCTTCATGTTCAAACTGAGAAGTGATGGTGTCGGCGGTGTCCCAAAATTGAGGGGTTAAGGCAACGCACTGAGAGAAATGCTTGATGGTTTCTGGCATCGTGTCTTCCTCGGCATGTCTCAACAAGTTGACTTCGCGATGGGGCCAGTTTGATAAAAGAAGATTGGATTAAATATGGAGACGTACTTAACGCCGACTAGGACCCGATCATCTACGTATGGTTTGGGCTTGGACCCAGATGTCTGGTGGCACCTTAACCACTGAAGCAGAGTTTGGTCGTCTTCTGTATGGGGACGCTGTAAGTACATTTGGTAGACCTTGTTCCCCCCGTCTGATCCGGAAATGGTGGTCTGAACAGCACGGTGGACTTGTCCGTCCAGCAGACCTTGATGTTGGAGAGCTGAAAAACCATCTCCAGTTCCAGGGGAGTTACGGTACGCAAGAAGGAATGGGCGGCCTGGTAGCCAGTCACATCAGTGCAGTACAGACCCTCAGAGGTGGCGCTCTCATGCATCTTGGTCACGTAACTGCTGACATATTTGAGGAGGAGAGCCTTTCCATCCGCCAGCTGAACGTCTGTTCTGCAGTGAAGGGATCCGAGCAAGGTGGTGATGTAGGCCCTGATATGGCGCTCGGCGGCGTCTTCCGTGTGCTGGAATTGGAGAGTGTGGCGTCCGTTCCGCTCAGTGATGAATGAGTCGGGATGGTGACGTACGGGTAGACATGACTTATCTGATTTCTGTATTGATGCGACAGTAAAGGCGTCTTCGGCGTTCTCCCAGGGCACTGAAGCATGAAGGAGATCTGCTCGCGTTGCTGAAATGTCCTTCACCCACACCAGCATGTGCAGATGGAGAGTGCCGCGTTTCTGGAACTCGAAACGATAGAAAAAGGTCTCCAAGTTCTTGGAGGTGGGGTCGCGAAGGTTGGTGAACACATTTGTCCTCCATCTATTACAATTGCCTCCCGTCAAGTAACCCCTGGCGATTTGTTCCAGAACGTGCGCTATATGAATGGTTTCAATTGTGGGGATGTCCGTCACGTCCTTGAAATAGCGGGATCTCATGTCCTCCAAGAAGGGTGGAAAAGGAAATGACCACTCATATGGACTTATGGTAAGAAAGAAACACGGGTAACCATACTGGCGGACTGCGTCAATGAGGTAAAGGTTTTGGTGCTGCCAGAAGGTCTTGCTAAATGACTTCGTTTCTAAGCTTCTGTTTGGGGAGCATCCGGACGCCTTCGACGCATTGACTGCACCCGTGATGGTCTTAAATAACCAGCGATCATATTGGTATTGCAGAATGTCAAAATTGAGAGCAAAGTCGTCCACTGGTGACAAGAGCTTGTGCATGAAGGCGATCTTGCCGCTGGCGCGATTGTCTTGTCCTTCCAGCATACTCTCACACAGGGAAGTCTTATGGTAGAGGGCAGGCCACAGAGCACACTCTACACCGCGGTAAAGTGGCGAAGAAAAGATTTCATACAGGAATGGTGGGCGCTCGCGGCGGAAATGCATCAGGATGAAGCGCGAGTAGCAGCTGTCTTCCTTCATGATCAAGAAGTCATAAAC